AAAAATAATTTTAAAATGAAGAGACCAAAAATTTTAAAAGTCCGAACAAGAGAATACATTGTACAATGTTTCTGCATAGCAAGTTAGCGTCACCAGTGTAATTCCATATTATCCTTCACAAATTGAAATTTGTTGACTGTATCTTCTCAGAATGTTGCAAATCTAAAGCTTGATTAGGATTATAAATCCTGTGTTCATTCATGTCCTGTTGCTTTTTAAATTTTACTAACGTTGTACCTGAAATGATGTTTGGCAAAGGCTGAGTGTATTATTTTGTCGCTGATGTATAAAGGCGAAAGTTATGAAGGGATCCCCCCACCACAGATTGTACATTTCTTTCAAAATTGAAAACATTGTAATATTAGTGTTTAAAACATGTAAAGTTGGAGAATTTAGACCTCATTTGCAATTTTGAGTACTTGAAAATTCATTTTATCGTGCTGAATACATCAGCTTGAGATTTAAATATGGTTTGCAAAATTTGCTGGTGTAGTTTAAAAAAAGAGAAATATAATAAATTTTTATTGTACTTTTTCAGCCGATTTTGAGTTGCACGACATTCTTGACTTTTTTTTTGTCCTAAATCTTGGCATCGATATATTTGCAGGCTTCTAGTCAGGCAGCACGGGGAGCAGATCTGGAGTCGGAAGAAGCTCCCCAGCTGAGTCCGGACTCGGTGTCTGACTTGTTCACACGTCCTGCGGACCACTGCACTCCAGCCTATGGAAACGTGGAAGAAGTAGACTGATGATTGGTCTGATCATGGGGACTGTGTATAAACTGCATGTCGCAGCAAGAGGCCTGGCACTTTGGACAAAAAAAAAAATCTGTACATCCCCTCAACTCGTATAAAACTAATTTATTCTCCACCCCTTCCTCCCTTACACCACACCTTCCTCCCCTCTCCCTCTTCTCTGCGTCCTTGAATTGTAGCCTGTAGGAACAAGGATTGATTTGTCTTGGTGCTTTTGTATCATTGATGCCATTCTGAGGTGAAGATGCTGCTGAAGTGGGTTTTTAAAGGTGATGTGAACAAATGTATTTGATTAACTGTTCTGCTGCCATTGTGCATATTTATGGATCATTGAGCACCTGGATGCACACTCGGTTGTGGCAAGAACATCTGGGCCACCTGTTTGCAACTGTACCTCCTTTTTTTAAAACTCTGTTCAAATCTACTTTATGGATATAAAAAAAAGTAGCACTTGGATATGCGCAGCATGACATCTGGAACCTTAAAAAAAACATTGGAAATTGTTTTTGTGTAGGTTACATGTTACAGTGGTAAGTAATGGGGGAGGTGCTGTGCCAGAAGGTTCATGGTGCTCATCACTATCTGTGTGAACGGCTGGACTCATTCTCTTGAATAATAAACTTGGATATTTCTGAAGTGGAGGATGCCGGTGATGAGAGGATATATGAATTGAACTACCCTGTTGGGTGAGGATAGTGGAGTGGATTTTTCTTTGACCTCTGTTCTGCAAGCAGTTATGTTCTGCATTAAAGCAAATTTCCCTGCCCTCTTTGGAAAATTGAAATAATGTTCAAAGCTTCCCTAAAGGCTTCCTCCTTTGGCGTCAGGAATCTGTCATGTTGATGATATTGGGGCTTTGTGTGCATATGTAGTTTTCCTCTGCCACATCTGCAGCTGGGGAAAAAAAAAAATGCGGATTTTGAGGTTCTCACAACACAGTGGGCTGTGTGTCTGCATATACCCTCGTGCTAACTCCTGTATTTTAAAACAGTGACAACAACTGTAAAATATGAAAATTCAAGCTGGATCATTTAATGATTCCTTGCAGTGTAGTTACCCAGAATCTTGCATTGAATTTCTTGTGACTAGTGCTATCATGATTCTTGCTAGAAGTTGGAAACTAATTCCCTCTAACCACCTGTAGAATGCATCAGGTTGTGATTTGTGGATGCTGAGCTTGATTGAAAGCTGCAGCCATACAAAGATATAAGTATTTGTGAATCCTACTCTCAGATGAAGATCAAGATTCTGTTTAGAAGATTAGGAATGGAGTGAACATTTAGCAGTCAACAAAGGCAACAGGTTCAGTAGCTCCTCAGTTCTTGCATATTCAGTTGTCAATTTGTAACCTTCAGTGTCATTGCATTCAAGATTGAACTTGAGAAGGAAAAGCATTTGAGGGGATGTGAGGCTAATGCCCTCCCCACTGTATATCTGCACTCCTTGGCTTTAAACAAAACCAGTTAAACCAACACACCACTGCACTCTCCCCAAACCAATGAACAATACCTCTCAATGAAAGTATGTGACACATGCACATCATTCATTGTAATCCATTAGACAGTAAGGAAGGTTAAACTTGACCAATGATACATGCCTTGTGAAGTTGGATAGATGAAGGTAGATCATGCAGAAGGTGCTTGATCTACCTTAGGTAGAAGATGCAGTGTCAAAGAGCACTGAGGTTTCTCTTTTTTGTTGGTAGCAATAAACTTGTCCTTATTGTGAATAATCATTAACTTTGGTTTATTTCCCAGTAACCCACAGTTGAAGTAGTTGGCAGAATTACTAGAGGGTAACAATCAGAAAATCCTGAGACCTGATATAAATCTAGTACAAGATTGAATCTGGCGCCAGAGTGAAATATTCCAAATGCTGAAAATCTGATACTCAGCTGGTCTGGCAGTATCTGTGGAGAGGGAAAAGTGGGTAATCTTCAAGTTTCTCATTGACTTTTCATCTTATCTTCACTGTTAGAGTTTTCATTTAAAACTGGCAACCTGCTGTGTTCACATTTTCTAAACCAGCTCATGCTCGTAGAGACCAGCAATTAAGTCAACCACAATATTGTGAGCTGCAATTAGATAATGTGACAGATAAAGGAGCTGTAGCCCTAGTGTGAACAGTTACCATCTCAAAAGTGAAGGTTATTCAGGTTTACACTGTTTCCTTCCCATGCTAATTGGCAGTCTCATATTTCACACTTAAGTACCTGTTAGTCTTAATCACCTAATGCAGCAAATCACAGCTACAGATCTGAGTTTTACCATCCTCTGAACCAGACACACTCATTTGATTATTCAGATATTGTGTACAATATGTGCAGCTATTATCTACTGGATCCAAAGTTGTAGGAACTGAAAACTTGTTCATAAAAACTGATACAGGTACTATGGTACCTGATCACTATCCTGGTACACCTGTCACTTTGTGCTATTTGGCTGTCACCAGAATTCAAATTTATCTGATTTGTTGCTGAGCAGGAATAGCTAATGTTAAACCCTACTATCAGTACAATGTGTTGAGGAAGATACAATTGACCTGAGGGCACTTTTGAAGCAAGGAATGAAAAGCAGGGACAGTCCTAGACTCTGTGCACGTATTGGGTGAGGGTGTTTGTGATCTGCTGGTGAACTTTGGCATTATGTCAAAAGGCGAGAGATGTCACTAACAAACTGACCTTTCAAGGAGCAGAGAAAATAGTCCCACATTCCTTCATTCCCCCACTCCATTCTCCTCCCTCTCTCCCCCCCACTATAATACTCCCCATGCACCTATTGTACCACTGTCAGTTGCAGCTCCCTGAAGCTGAGGTGCTTAAAGCCAATTCCATTGTAGGAATGATCAGTGCCAGGCAAACTGTTGCATGCTGCAGGACTGTGTTCTTTTTTTGTTTTGGTAATCACCGTCAGAAAGGACCCTTGGTATCAATTCAGCAAAGAAAATGTTTTAACCTATGGCTGGATATCTTTTGTAGCTTCTGTTGGATAATACATAATCATCATCTCCTACATGGATTCCACACAGATGCAGCTCATGATGAGACCAGTTTTTAAATGTTGGTGTGTGATCAGCACCTCTTTCTCGTTTGCTTCATCCTTCTTACAATGGTGGAAAGTTGTCTTTGAGAGCCTCCATTTGATAAGTTCACACTAAGGCAAGGTTTAACTTTTTTGCACACTTGTCACAGTCTTGTATTTGTGTTCCTAAAATACATCTTTTCCTTCCTGAATGTATGGCCTCATCTTTCAGCTAAAGATAGAGACTCAATTGAACACCTCATCACTCATTTGGAAGGTACACTGTTCACATCACCTTCAAGCAAATGTTTGTGTGTGAATTGCTGAATCACAGGCTGATTTGGTATTTTTTCTTTCTTTTCTGATATTCTTTGCTCTAAAGACCCTTATTCTTGCTTGACTGAGTTGCTCTCCTACTGAATGATTGAAATGCATTTGCTGTTATATACTGCATACCAAACTCCAGGGGAGGGGGGTGGTTGGTGCTTGGATTCAGTCTCATTGTTCATACCCAGTTGCTGCACCCATTCTGTCTTGGTGCTTGGGGCCAGTGGATCCATTTAAGTCAAGACTTGGTGAGGTTATCAATTGGGTGGAGGAGCCATATATAAACCTGTGCAGATCCCATGACCTATACTGGCCCACTGACCCCCTTCTCAGGGGTGGCAATATTTGACCATCTGAGAGAATGTATCTTTGAACCCACTGCACTCTGTGGTGAAGGTGCTGTCACAGTGCCATCAGCCCTGAATTTCCAAGAAATGACTGTCTCCCCTTTCCACTGAGGTAGGAAAATGATTCTTAATATTCCATGTGGTATTGCAAGGACATGACAACCTGGTGAAGACATATCGGCACTTGGTTGTGATTTGATCACCTTATCTCCTATCTGTCTGACCATTTTAATCACTTTTAGTCACTGAAAGCCTTCCTGAATAATAATCCAAGTCAAGGCAACAGCTTTGAGGGAAGTGGGCAGATAACAAGGCTGAGTGGGTCTGGTGGAGTGGAATGAAGTCGCTGTGGAGTTATAATGCCAGCCAAATTCCATTTCAGTGGGCATGTTTGCCATGAGAGACAGTGAATGAAATGCCTCTTGATGTCCTTTTGCTTTTTTAAAAAAAGTGCACATTTGCTGTAATCACAGTTACAGAGCACATCTTCAATCTCCAGTTGAAGATTTTTCTCCCCTAAAGGCACGTGACAGATACTGGGAATAGTTCACAGCAAAAGACTGGGCCAATACTGACACTGTCCCTGAAGTGCACTTGGGCTGCTTTTTTTAAAAAAAAAACTAACTAAACATTTCAATTTGAGTTCTTTGAACAGGAAAATGAAACTTTATGTGGGCTTGGTTTGTGTGCTTCTAGCCTCCCCCACTAGCCACTGGACTTCTATTATCTCTTCTCCCCCCACTATCACCCCCTCTCTCTCTCCCTCTCCACTCTCCCTCTCTCTCCACCCCTTATTTTGTCTTTTTCAATTTCTGACTTACTTTCTGGTCCCTGGTTTCAATTTTCCACCCATCCCACTCATGCTTTCTGATCCCAACTTTCCTCTCAATCCAGCCTCAGCTTTGTTGAAATCTTTGTTTTCCTGTCACTATCTTTCAAGACAAATTTGATGTGGAAGTGAAATGATTGCATTTCAGTTTGTTAATTTTACCTGAATTAAAACAAGACAGTTTTGTTTTTGTCTCATTGGCTGCTGTGCTGAATTTTGTTGATTTTGTTGTGTTTTATCAGGAATTTTTTAAAACCTGTTCTGGAGATGTGGGTATTGATGGGTGTGTGGTAGGCTGGGGGAGAGGGTATTGCATTTTTCACTGCCATTCTTCTCCCAATTTGCCTCTGCCAAAGCTGATGCTGCCTCTATCAGGAGCTCCAGGGTAAATTTGCCCAAAAAGCAGAACAGCCAAATTCCTGGACTTGCAGCAAAATCCCAGCAGACAGAAACTAAACAACAGACTATTAGCCAAACTATTCCAATACTTCTGTGCAGCTTTCCTATAATCTAGCCTGTAAATGCTAAATCCTGCTTTTCATTTGGAATTAGATGTAATCTTTAAACCTCTGACCTTTTAATACTTTCAGTTTCTCATTACTGTGCTACACTTAGATTTGTTCCTTTACAACCTCTGTTTCACTTTTCCACTGTTGACTTGTAGATCCAGTTCCTTTTGATTATTTTTCTTTCCACTTATTTATTGTTTTTAATTTTTCATTCCACTTTTTGTTTTCCTCTACCTCTTGTTCTTTCTCCATAGCCCTACAGAGTTTATTTTTTAAAGTTACTTTTCGATCTTCCCTGACCAGTATTTATCTTAGAAATATGGAAGATCTGAGCAGGTGTAGGCCATTTGTCATAAGAGCTGTATCTACCTGCTTCTCGAAAATGCAATATTTTGGCCTCAACCACTTCCTGTGGTAGTGAATTCCTCAGGCTCACCATCTCAGTGAAGAAATTTCTCCTCATCTCAGACCTAAAAGGTTTACCCCTTATCCTTAAACTATGATCCCAGTTCTGGACTCCCTGAAAATCCGAATGAACAGTCTAAATGATGACCATGAATCCATTTGTTGATTGTCGGAAAAACCCATCTGGGTCACTAATGTCCTTTAGGGAAGGAAACTGCCATCCTTAGCTGGTCTGGCCTACATGTGACTCCAGACCCACAGCAATGTGGTTGACTCTTAACTGCCCTCTGGGCAATTAGGGATGGGCAATAAATGCTGCTTAGTCCAGCGATGCTGTCATCCCGTTAATGAATTTGAAAAAATCAGGAACATCCTTCCTGTGTTTACTCTCTCTAAGCCTGATAGAATTTTAGGTTTCTGAGATTTCCCCTCGTTCTTCTAAACTTCAGTGAATACAATCCTAACCAACTCAATCTCTCTTTATACGTCAGTGCGCCATCCCAGCAGTTAATTTGATAAACCTTTGCTACACTCCCTCCAGAGCTAGAATATCCTTCCTCAGGCAAAGAGATCAAACTGCACCCAGTATTCTGGATGTGGTCTCACCAAGGTCTTGCATAATTGCAGCAGGACATCTCTATTCTTGTACTTGAATCCTCTCGCTATGAAGGCCAATGTTTGGTTTGCTTTCTTCACTGCCTGTTGTACCTGCAATGTTTACTTCCAGTGACGTTCAGAGGACATCCAGGTCTCATTGAACGTTCCCATTTCTCAATTTATAGCCATTCAGATGATAATCTGCCTCCTTGTTTTTACTCCCAAAGTGAATAACCTCACATTTTATCCACATTAACTGCATCAGCCACTCATTAGCCCACTCACTGAGTCCTTCCAAATCCATATTGAAACATCTCTGCATCATTTTCACCCTCTCACCCGGCTTTATGTCATCTGCAAATTTTGAGCTATTGTATTTAGTTCCCTCACCTAAATCATTGTGAATTGATGTCAATCAACATCACAAAAGCAGATTGGTCATTATCACATTGTGTTTATGGGATCTTGCTGTGTGTAATTGACTGATGTTTCCTGCATTAAAATGAAGGCTACAGTTTAAAAGCAAAAATATTCCAAGTGAAGCATACTATGACATCAGATTGTCATAAGCTTAGCTCATAACCAATGTCTGTCTCATCCCTCTTCACCATCTCTGGACATCTCAAAATGCATAAAGGTAGATAAATCCCCAGGACACAATGGGAAGATAGGGAAGAAATTGCAGGGCCCCTAGCAGAGATATTTATATCATCGACATCCACAGGTGAGGTGCCAGAAGACTGGAGGGTGGCTCATGTCGTGCCTTTATTTAAGAAAGGCTGCAAGGAAAAGCCAGGGAATTACGAACCAGTGAGCCAAATGTCAGTGGTGGGTAAGTTGTTGGCATTCTGAGATACAGGATCTACATGCATTTGGAAAGGCAAGGATTGATTAGGGACAGTCAACTGTGCGTGGGAAATCATGTCTCACCAACTTGATTGAGTTTTGTTTTTGAAGAGGTGACCAAGAAGATAGATGAAAGCAGTGCAGTAGATGTCTACATGGACTTTAGCAAGGTCTTCGACAAGGTTCTGCATGATAGACAAGTTACTAAGATTAGATTACATGGAATCCGGGGAGAGCTAGCCAATTGGATACAAAATTGGCTTGACGGTAGGAGACAGAAGGTGGTGGTAGAGGATTGTTGTTTGGACTGGAGGCCTGTGACTAGTGATGTGCTGCAAGGATTGGTGCTAGGTCCACTGTTCACTAATGATGAGAATACAGGTGTCATGGTTAGTAGGTTTGTGGATGACACCAGAATTGGTGGTATAATGGACAGTGAAGAAGGTTTTCTAAGAGTACAACGGGATCTTAATTAACTGGGCCAGTGGGCCAACGATAAACAGATGGAGTTTAATTAAAATAAATGTGGGGTGTTACATTTTGGTTAGGCAAACCAAGGCAGGACTTACCCCAGGAGCCTATCATTAACTGTGTATGTTGTTGAACAGAGAGACCTAGGAGTGCAGGTACATAGTTCCTTGAAAGTGGTGTCTCAGGTAGATAGGGTGTTGAAGAAGGCATTGGGCACGCTTGCCTTCAGTGGTCACAGCATCAAGTACAGTTGTTGGACGTCATGTTACAGCTGTAAAAAACATGGGTAAGGCCATATTTGGAGTACTGCGTACAATCCTGGTTGCCCTGCTACAGGAAGGATGTTATTAAACTGGGAAGAGTGCAAAAAATATTTACATGGATATTACCAAGACTGGAGGGTTTGAGGCTGATGGGCTGGGACTTTTTTCCCTGGAGCAAGATAGGCTGAGAGGTGACCTTATAGAGGTTTATTAAATCATGAGGGCCTTAGATAAGGTGAATAGTCAAGGTCTTCTCCAGGTTCGAGGAGTCTAAACCTAGAGGGCATAGGTTTAAGGTGAGAGGGGAAAAATTTAAAGGGAACCTGAGGGTCAACTTGGGACCTTTCCCCATTAGACTGGGGTTTGTGAGACTGAGACTATGGAAACTGAAATCGAGCTCCGCGTGCCAAGTGCCGGGCAGAAGGCAGTGAGACTTGTTTGCTGAAAATGTCTAAAGTAGTTTCAGCTGACAGATTCACTCATTAGTTAGCATATATCTAAATTAGATTATGCAAATAAATTTGCCTTATATCAAAGCACATATGTACTCTTGTATTCAGAAGGGCAAATCTTTTACACAAAGGGTGGTTCGTGTGTGGAATGAACTTCCTGAGAAGGTGGTGGATGTGGGTACAATTGCGACATTTGGATGAGTGCATGAATGGGAAGGTTTGGAGGTATATGGGCCAGGAGCAGGAGGTGGGACTAGTTTAATTTGGGATTATGTTTGGCATGGACTGGTTGGACCGAAGGGTCTGTTTCCGTGCTGTATGACTCCATGACTCTATAACTTTTTCACACAGAGGGTGGTGCATGTATGGAACAAGCTGCCAGAGGAAGTGGTAGAGGCTGGTACAATTACAACATTTGAAAGACTTTTGGACAGGTACATGGATAAGGGAGTTTTAGAGGGATATGGACCAAGTGCGGGTAAATGGGACTAGTTCAATTTAGGAAACCTGGTGG